CCTCCCTCCCTCCCTCCCTCCCTCTCTCTCTCTCTCTCTCTCTCTTGAAAAAAGCACCTTTGAAAAGGGGGATGGAGGGGAATGGAAAGATTTGTCTTCCTTGTACATACAGTATATTTAGAAATAAAGATTTCTGTTCTTCAAAGAACAAAACAATAGAGTCCCGTTGCCTCCTGAAAAAGCACCTTTGGCACAACCCTGATGTGGATGACTGAGAATCTCTACAGACACACACTCCGTTCTTAAAGCCAACCGCACTGCTGGGGCGGCTCAAAAAAGCCACCCACTCTTTAGCCTTATTGGTTAGGGGCGAAGGGACCTCGCTTTCCTCACGCCAAAAACATTGGTCTCAAGGCTGCATCCTGAGACTCGGACTTCCAACCTAAACCCAGGCAGCAGTAATAAAGATCAACGAAAAGTTTGCACGTTCGTGGGTCGGTTCGGTTTTTTTTTGCAGATTAGGCGAGGTAGGCTGAGGCTTGAATTGAAAGGGAAGCGAAGTACGCAAATGTGCTCGCAGGTCCTATTCGATACACACTGGCGTCACTCCCAGCTAAACACAACGAATTCACTTCTGGGTATGAATTTCGCCCGTTGGTTTTTGGCCCCACTAAATTCGAAATCTGTTCCCAAGTCATATTCTACAGTTTAACGCCAAGATATATCGAATTGTTTTCCCTTTCTCAGTTGCTCTGTTCATAATAGAAATAAAGCCTTTCATAATGACTGGATATAGTAAAAAGAGTAATAACTATGGTGCCCCCCTTTGTATATATGCTCCTGCGTTCGGTGGAATTTATTCCTTGCTAAATATGTGCAAATTTTTACCGTTCAGGTTTTTTTCATTGAAGTTAACCTATGTAATCTATCTTTATTCGGTGTTTTTTTTCTGTAGAAAACGGGGTGGGGGGGGAAACAAGCCAATATTTTGCAGGAAAAATGAATTTTCTTTCAAGTAAATCTGAAGCTTCTGTGTCCATATTCCAAAACTATTTAAAACTATAATTTATAAAGAGAAAACTATTTTTTATCGCAGTATGTATTGCTTAGTACATAAGCAGCATTGGCATTGGTATAAGGCTACCAGATCTGGATTGCAAAAAGTCAGGCAACCTCTAGATGGTAACCATATCTGTAGGAAGGTGTAATTTCTGTATCTGTAGGAAGGTGTGATTTGTTCTAAAGGGAATGGACAGCATATTTACATAAATAAGTAATCTTTTATGTTTTTAGACTAAAAATAGCCATTCTAACCCATAGCCTTCAGCAGTTCTACTCCAGTTATTTCTTAAACTCATTAAGTTTAGCAGAATTTACATTGGCTCGTTCTTCACTTTTAAGCATTTCCCCCTTTACTGAGGAATGAAATAAGTGCATATATATTTTCTAATCCCAAAGGTGCTTTTTCAAGAGGAAACTGGACTTTCAGAGTTTGGGGCGGTTTTTTTGGAAGACTTTTCACGTCTCATCCAAGAAGCTTCTTCAGCTCTGACTGTATGGTGGGGAATGGAAGCCAAACGCCTTCAAAGAAAAACCTGAAAGTCCAGTTGCCTCTTGAAAAAAGTACCTTTGGGACATCCATGACCTGAATGACTGAGAATCTCCATAGACATATATTTTATAATTCAAAATGAACTCACTGAAGAATGGAAAAGTGTTAAGGAGCCTAAGGATTTTTTGCTGCTCATGTCAAAGAGAGAACCAGCCTCCCTCATCAACTTCTCATGTCCAAAGGATGGGAGTGAGAAGTCCTTATAATCTATTTTTGTCTCCTTGTAGAGTTTGTCACAAATAGCTCTGAACAGGTTACTTAAATTAGAATTACACTTATAAAGAATTTTTCACACATGTCCCTGGTAAGAAAGATGATACATTTATATGCCATGTCCAGTTGACTCTTCCATGTTTGCAATGTTTGATGTGAATTAGAAGCTCCTATTTTGTACTGGGGAAAAAACTGCAAGGACATTATTGTCCTTTTGTTGCTCACCCTTAAGAAATTCTGATTACAGCATAGGATGCCAAAGAGCATTGTAATCTGCATTTTAATGATTTTTACCTGTGAATATCTACATTTTAAAACCAATTAGTAAGTGATGATTGTAATTATAATGGAAAGACATGGGTCTATTTACCGCCTTGGTTGCAAAGCAACACTCAGAGGGAGAGTGGACAAAGTTTGAGAGTCTTCCACTCTAAGGTTATTGTAGCTTCCACCTGCTTGCTGAGTGACAGCACTGAATGGAGTTTTGCTGCTGAGTCGATTTTGGTTGGACAACGTCTGGGAATTCCAAACATGTTCTGACCTCACCAAGAGCTTCCTTGAGTTTTACCTATCTTTATAGTGTCTTCCAACCATTTTTGTGGAACTATAAAACCTTTTTCATTGTGGAGATGTTGTCCTTTGTTAACTGACGCTATACATTCCTATAGACGAAATGCCAATCCTTTTTTTTTTTTGCCTTTCCCCAATCCACTCCCAACCTTTCCTGTTAATTTGCTAACTGCAAGCCCAATCTCCAAAAATAGTGAAACGGATGAGTTTGGATTCAAGTCAACCCTCCCACCAGTTTAAGTTCAATTAATTTGGGGGGTTATCCCCTTTCTGAGCTGCACGAGGTAAAAAGAGTCGAAAATCCATACCTCCCCCATTCTTAAAGGCCAGGTACGGGAACCTCCAGACATTGCCCAGCCCTACTGCATAACCCACCATGGAGAGGATGAAGTCCATCTTGCTAGACCAATTGCCCCGGGCTTTATTTTCATCTCCTTCCTCGTCCTCCTATTGCAGAAAGAAAATAATAATAACTACAATAATACATTGAGTCAAGAATCAGCTTTCGGAAATCTGAAGGTGTGCTTTACCTTATCAAATGATACACTTATGGCTCCATGGCTACATTCACACAACTGACTAGTCCCAACTCGTGATTAATTGGATTGAACTAAATCAATTGTTTAGCTTGGCACAACTCACTGGATTATGAACTGATCAACCTAGTATGTTCTGGTATTCCGACAAACGACCCAAAGATAAATGTGTTGGAAAGGAGTGAAGCCAAGCAGTCTGAAGAGTTGGGCTTGGCTGTAATCCCTTTCACTAAAATTAAGGAGATTTGAGTATAAATCATGGTTTGGTCATGCTCAAAGAATTACAGATTCTGGCAGGTTAATGCAGAGTGTCAAACGCCATTCTACATGGAATTACCGTACCTTCTGCTTCAGAATTTATTTGTTTTTTAATCTGGCTATAGGCTTCCTGCTAACCAGCACAGCCTCAGTTTGACATCCCCATAAGAGCCCTGCTTTTGAAAATGAAAAGCATAGAACTGAATGGCACACGCGTTCTTTTAATCCACTCCTCTGCCTTCACAGGGTATGTAAAACTGTGAATAGGTTGGTGGGTCCTTGGCATAATTCTTCCAAAGCGTTTGCTCGGCTTCTGTTTTTATAAACTTGTGCACAAGGGCCAATGGCTCGTCCTCCCGTTTAAGTAAATCAAGAAAAGGTGAACTAAATCATAGTTGATGTACACTTCAAGAGAAGCTGGCTCTGAAACATAAATCCTGCTGACAGTGAGGGTCAGGAATCGGGCAGACTGGATTCTCAAAATATACACTGTAAACTGGGGGGCAGGGAGGGCAGGGAGAATAGGTTGGCAGTTTTCCAGGGTGCTTTTGATAGGCAGCAGGGGGTTCAAGTTGCAACCTATATTGGGAGGGGGGACTCTGCAGGAATTCAGCTCATTGACTTCAAGCACTTTGCCTGCTGGCTCTCTGTAGTTGTTAAATATGGTGTAACCCAGGGAGATCTCCCTAATTCAACGAATGTGAACATTCCTTTTTTTGTCCTCCCCTCCTCCATTGAATCCTCATAGTTCAGGTTCTTGGGAGAACCATTTTTTTTAGAACGGTGTGTTTAATCTTATAACGTCATCCCAGAGGTTAAATCAGTAACCTCTATTAACTGAAAGGCATGTTCCAGTTGGATAACAACCAGGGTGAGCGACTGAGAAGCTGCCTCGTTTGCTAAGATCCTGAAATGAGAAAAACAACCACGAAAGATATTTCAGAAGATAAAGGACTAGAAGGTTAAACGGAAGCCAGAGAAGATATTCCACCTGAAGGAAAAAGTTTTACCTATCCAATTCCCTCTGAGCTTATATTACCCTATCTTGAGGACTTATCGACGTCCTGATTTGTCCACCAATACTACATAACCGTGGTCGGGCCGGGGATAAGCTCCACTTTGAGGTGATGAACCTCTACGATGCCTTCCACTTAACTTGCTTCCGGAGACCGGAAGGAGAAAATCTCCCCGACCAGTTCTGTGCAAAGACCAGAAGAAGTAGTCCTTTGGGGTAAATGGAGACTTTCCTTTTCTTAAGTGCAGTGCTCTCCAGAGAGCTCGGACTACAACCTCCATCACTCCCAGCCAATTGAGGAGGTTCCTAGTCTGACCTGAGAAGGCTTGAGCAGAACGCGTTCGGAGCGCTTTGCTTCCTAAGCGCCGGAGCTCCCGAGCGGCCGCTGCTCAGCTAAGGGATCAGGTGTTCCGCAGTGGCGGCCCGGAGCTCTGTTTCTTACAACCCGCCGCAGCGCCAGAGCTTTGCGCGCTGACTGACTCCGAGTAACGATTAAACTGTCTGAAGTGAAGTGATTGATCGCCCAGCTTGGCCCACAGGGGCTTCAAGAGGCGGGTTGGCCCCGTAGGCTCATTGGTTGGGTAGTTTTTTTTCGATTGTGCTCCGATCAGGGGCCAGGCAGGCCGACAGACAGGCAGGATCGCAAAGGGTGACCTGCCCGACCCCGCTCTCGCTTGGTTTTACCACCAGTCTTCCATGCAAAGCAGCGCAATCCTGGAAGACGGAAGGCGGTCCGGCAAACACTTCTTGGGAGTTAATTTCCCCGAAGGCGCTACTCTATAATCCCTTGTTTCCAAAGTACTGGGCTGGCACTTTTAAACCAGCTCTGGCAACTCATCCGATGGCTTCGCACGCAGCATGAAGCCACAGAGCTCTCAGGGTTCAAGTTAACCTTGAATCGTACTTTGAGCCAGTCATTTCCTCCCAATCTAGTTTATGTGGTTATTAGGAGCATAAAATACACCTCCTGAAACGTCTTTTACGGACTACCGGTTGAAGATTTTACCTTCTTCCTTTTTGAACAGAAACGCCTGCTGTCTTTTCCCTTCCGGCATTGGAAGAGGCAACGCAAGACTCTAGCCTCGATTTTCTTTTTCAAGGTCGCTCCTCGCCTATCTCAGTTTTGAATTGTTTTAATTAAAATTGTTTCGGCCTATCCCGAACTGGGAGATGTCGACCTACACATCCCCTAAGCCCCAGACCGCAGGACTGTTTGGCAATGATGGCAGCCAAGCACTTCTGGAATTAAGGGGCCAGCTGGTGTCAATGATTTAAGGATATCGGAGGAGTTGACTTTTGTGGAGTCAGGGTCCTTCCGCGAGTAAGGAGCCCCTGCTTGCATTCTGAAAGGGACCGAGTAACGTATATGTGATGGGAGGACCAACTCACCTCAGTGACGCTGCCAGGCCGAACAGATGCGATTCCATCTGTACCCAACACCACGGTGCTATGGCTCATGTTCACCCAGCCTGTATTGGTATTGTTTGGCTCCACCAGGCTCTTACCAAGACTTTGATTAGCCGGCCCAACGGCGCTCTGCAAGGGGGCGATTTTGCAGGGGACAATGTTAGCTGGCGCGGCGTTCCCTGCACAGGGGGCATTCTTGAGCGTACAAAGATCGGCGGGGTCTTTGCCGGTTGGGGGATTGCCTTGGGCGGAGGCGACTTTGCCGATCCCAATTTTGGCGCGCTCGGTCTCGTGGGGTGGCCCTTCGTCGAGAGGCCAAGGCTGGATGTCGCCTGAGAGAGCTGTGCCCACTTTAGCCAGCTGAGGCGGGACTTGGGACTGGAAGTTCTGCGGCTGCTCGGTTTCGGGACTGTTTCTGTGGATCCCTGCCCTCTCTAGTGGCCCAGGGGCGACCACCTCGGGGCTTTGAACCAGTTGCTCGCTCATCTCCTTGGGATAGGCGTAATCCTGCAAGAGCAGAGTGACAATAAGAAAGAAGGAAACGAACAGCTGCCCGCGGTCGGCTCTGTTGCTCGAAAAAGCTTTCTGGAACGTTTAGAATTCGTATGAAGGTTGCGCTGCTTAAGGCATCAGGGAGACGCTGCGGCAGATTCCATTTCACACCCTAACCTAAAATCGTTTTTCCCCCTGCAGCCCCACATTTCCGGCGTAGGAAACCCCATCGCCCCCAGCTCTCTCCTTGCAAACCTTTTTATTTTCTCGTCACGACTGAAAGACGCTCCCCTCTCCTTGCCCCACTGTAGAAAAAAAAATATCTTTAATTTTACGCCTCATTTCCTTTCTGTCTTCAGCAGTGCATACTAGCTTTGAGCTGGAGAGGGGGGCGGGGGAGATAAAGCCGAACTACCCTATATGCAGCTAACGACATAGAGAGAAATTCAATAATACTGATTTCTAAATATTCCCAACCTTGCCCCCCCCCACATACTTATACCGATGGGGGAGGAGCACGAGAAGCATAAAAATCCTGAATTACATTTTCTCACATCCCGTTACTCCAAACAGATTGTAAATTTAATGGGATTTGTTTCTCAGTAGGTACTCTGAGGATCTCATGCTGGGTAAAAATAGGATTGCATATGTAGAATTATAAAATTGGGCCACATTCTCCAATCTGTGCTTTGCTTTTCTACCTTAGTAGACAACTCTAGTTCACCCATAAATCATTGCCGCTCTATAAACATTTTTGCTGTAGAGAATGTTTTTTTTTCTTCTGAAAAGTGTCTGTAAAGACATAACACATATTCTTTCCACTTTTGGAATCGACCCTCCCTCCAAAGAAACTCAAGCAGTCAGCAAATGCAGATCCAGAAAGTAGAAAGAACCAAACAATTTATCTACAGAACAGGAATATGGTTTTTCAGGACCCTGGACAGTGCCCATAGCGTTACAGGCTGACTGCCGCTCGGTACATTTTTACTAAGCCTTAATTTCTAACTACTTTTAACCCGCAACAATACGGAACCGTCTGCAAGATTACAAGCAAAATACAGTTTTCTTCCAACCCAAGGCTCCAAAAAGAAAAGACAGATTAAAAAATAAAGCCCACTTACCATATTTATAATAGCATCGGACAAAATCTTGCAGAGGCAAAAGGCTGCAGCTGGGGCGAAATGGTAGAGTGAATTTTGCTCCGTTAAGAGCAAAGCTTTCTATAGCTCCGTGAGAAAGACTGGGTTTGCGTCAGTGCATACCAAGGTGCCCTTCCTATGACATTTTTTTGATAATCAGAGTTTGATAAATCATTACCCACGGATTCGAATTTTTAAAGCGGCAACAGGAACAGGCGCACAAGCTAGCTGTCAGTCAGACAGCAGTTGGGATGGCGTGCTTGGTGTGACTCAGGGGGAAGGAGGGGGGTGAGACTTTGCTAAGCCAAGCCCAGCGAAAGCAGTGTGCGCGCGTGTGTGGTTAATTAGAAAAAGAACATGTGAGAAACACGTCCTATTGCACCCAACGCGCAAACAGGGGCGATAGAAGTCTACTCCCTCGTTAACGCACCGCTCCCGCCTCCAGTCAGTAGCTCCTCTACCGCCCCTCGGAAAGACCCGGTTCGTCGCCTTTTCCTGCCTTTCATCTGTCAGCAGCGGCATTTTAATTTAATGTCACGATTCTTCTGGGAAGTGAAAAGAGAAGATTCTCTCCCCGCCCCCCACCTTTCTGGACCTTTGTCCGCCAAAAATGCAGCGGGATACCCAAGACAGTGGACGAAATTCACCGCGTGCCCAGAGAAATATTTATTTTCGTCGAGATTATTTTTAGTACATAGAGATGGTAGGAGAAATATTCCTCTGGACACACACAAGCGCTGCTGAGTGAAGATTTTCAAAGAGTGAAACCCCAAATCTTTGCTTTAAAGGAGCAAACTAGTATTGGATTACTCCATTAAAAAAGTTAAAAAATGATGTTGGGGTTGAATTTGTTCAGGAGCATTAGGAAGCTTGATGCCACATAACCAGCCTTATCCAATGTAATCCCTCAAATTGGGTTGGGACTAAAATCTAGAATGCCCAACCTGCATACTCCGGGGAATATCTTTAAGCAAGATTTCTTCATAGACTCATAAGTTGTAGATATGTGTAAGTAAATCAGGCAATAACTGTAACCTCTGTGTGACACTCAGACTTGACAACCCAGGACAGATGCTGTAGATCCTAAGGAATCCCTAAAATGTCATTGAAATTGGCCACCCATTAGGAAATTGCGATTTTAGCAGCACGAACTTTGATTGTAAATTTCTGTGCAATATACGCACCAACAAATGGGTAAATGGTTGGCTTAGAAACTAGAACTATGAGCTTGATCAAGCCCTAGTTGATTTCAATGTGGTGGTCCTGTTAATTTTAATAGGACAAGAGTCAATCTTTGAAACATGCATGTGTCTCTTTGTATTATTTGTGTGTATCGTATGTGAATACTAGTATTGATGTATTTTTAAAATGCATATATGTGTTTTGAACAACCAAGCACATTTCAGATTTACAGACAATGATAGAAATGTGATTGGATGATTTTTGAGAACGTCCACAAGCCTATTTACTAGGTGCTAGCTCTTGTGAAAATTCATGGACTTTATACTTTGTCACTTCTCTATATGAGATTCAAGGAGTGAGTTTGTTTTATGAATACTCATTGTAACTCCTCAATCACAAAGGCTACTTTATGAAACAATTACAAAATTGTAGTATAATGAAGCATTTAGATTCATCTCATCTAGGACCCATTTTAGAAGTGGGTATTTCAAATCACTTCTCCTAGTTCATATCTTCTTTGAAACCTACCTTGCAGTAACAGAGTAGGGCCTACTTAGGAGGGACTTACAATGATGGTGAGATCATGAAATAACATTTCTAGCTTTAAAAATGTAGAAGTGTGTATCTATATTAAGCACTATGAAGAAGTGCTTAAGCACTATGAAGAAGTATAGAAAGAAGTGCTTAAGCACTATGAAGAAGTATAGAAAGAACTACACTATTTTATCTTATTTTAAAACATTGCTTTTTTATTTTTTAAAATGAATGTCCATTAAGTTAAACTAAGTTAATTTAGTTAGAAATTATTTCAAGAGGAAAAGGCATAACTTAGCCAGATAAGAGAGTGTTGGAATGTGGACTTTTGCAAACTTTCCTAAAATATATCCCATTGAGCTTACGGTATCTGCCTGCCAGTCCATCCATCCATCCATCCATCCATCCATCCATCCATCCATCCATCCATCCATCCAATTTATATAGCCTCGTATCTCACAGCTAGTGATTGTGGGTAGCATGTAACAAGAATAAAACAATAAATATTTTTTTTAAAAAACGTATCATTTAAAATATTAAATATTCTTAAAAACTATAATGCATTAAATTAGTTTTATATTTATTTGTTCATATAAGTCCCTTATCTTGTGAATAATGATCCTAACTGGCTCACAAGAACTACCAATAAAACCAGGAAAGTAAACATTTGTGTGGCTTAATATTATTTCAAAATAAGAATATTTCAGTTTTGAACCTAACTGGAATTGTAACCAGTGTCTCTGCTGTCCCTCAGAATGGGGCAGGAGGGGGGGGGCGCATAACCCAGAGATCCTTCCTAGCTCTGCCTATCTGTCAGCACCATCCCTCCCCACCCCCAAGGTAGAATAATTCCTTTAAGCAGAGGAGCTAAACAAAACGTGACAAGTCACCAATCAACAAAAGACAAATTTTGTTGGAAGGATCTTCATTTATAAAAAGAAAAAATGTGCTGATGTGTCTCATTCTTTAAGATGCAAATTCATAAATTGTAAAACATGATGTTTTTTCACTTGCTCATCATCTTCAATGGAGAGGAATTTAGTTAGTTGTTCTTTTTCTTCAATTCAGGCATTGGAATCTGTTTTTGTTGTTGCCCTTTTGTTGTTCTAAGTTTCTAATGTAATGACAGCCAAATAAGTGATGCATCTTGTTAAAAAAAACATCGCAAACTAATGACTGCATTTCGTGAACAATTCTTGTCGTTACAGGCATCTGATGAACTGGCTTCGTGATCCATAAAAGCTGGACCGCTAGCTTTTAAAGTGCACAAAGGCTTTCTGGTGTTGGTTTTTGTATTAACCGAACTTAATTCCAGAGACCCTAATAATCCAAAAGAAGATACGAATTAACTACTGAAGTAGAAATCAGTTGTACACAGTTTTTCCCAAGAGCATCGTGTTTTTTTCCACAGTCAAGAGAGAACGTTAAGTTTGTATTTGCAAGCCTCTGCACATTTAGTTAGGAAGACGCTCCATTCAATAGAATGGGACTTATTGCTGACTGATCATTCACAGAACTGCTTGGAGGCTTAATTTAAAAATAAGGCAGAATTCATTTTCCTAGGCAAGGTGACATCAGCACGAATTTAGTTAGCCCTTTCCGTCACACTGCCCTTTTATTTATAGCCAGAAAGTCCAAACCCACCCATATATTCCGGGTACAAATTAAACTCAAGGCGAAGAGTGTTTCATAAATATAGGTAGGGGGAAACTAACATGATGATCCTTATCACTGAAATATTGTTCTCTGTTTTCATGCAACTGGGGGAGATCTGTTCGTCTAAGTTCAGAAACAATATATTCTGCAGATTCCTGTAAAAAGAAATAACACAACCCTCTTTTCTTCCTTCCAATTCTCTGCTATGTCCTCGTGACTACCCGTGTCACATTGATTAAAGTGGTCATTTTCCTTTCCCATGATCTTCTCGATTTGAAGGCCCGTTATAAATAGCTAAGGCTGGCAAAGGCTTTTTTATTTTTTTAACTCTCTCCACACAACCTTTCCGGAGAGTTATCTCTCCCCCCCCCCAATTTTTAAACCCGTCTTCCTTTTGAGGGCAAAAAGGGCGGGCATCTGCGCTGCGAAGAGAGGCGGGAGGGGGGGTCTCGAACACGCGTCATCTTTGCCAGCTCCCGAGTTAAGCTTTCAGAGCCGAGAAGGCTGGAAGGCTTCAAGCCTTTGGCGGATCTGCGCAAAGTTGGGGAGGTTGTGAATGGATGACTTCTCCGGACCTTTGAGTACTTTTCGCCTAGGGGGGCTGACTTGGAGGAGGAGCGGGCATGAAGCGGCTGGCGCGGCAGTGACTCAGGATCCTGCGGCTGGAACGAGGGCGCGTGAAGTTTGAAAGCGCAAAACTCCCGCGCCGAATCCACCACGCCGGCAAGGGAAGCTGGCCCTCCTGCCTGGCCGCCAAACAGGCAGAGGAGCAGTAAGAGAAGGCGCGGGGACGGGAGGGATTTCTTTCGGCGCTCCCGAGCTTTCCTGCAAGTCTCCCTTCGGGCCGAGTCCTCCTCCTCCTGCGCTTTCTCCTCGAAGATGGACGACCGGGAGGCGGGCGCATGCTCTTTGGCGCGCTCTGGAAAGGGACCTGGTGCGGGGGGGGGGAGGAGGGAAGGAGACTGACTGGCTGTGATTTAGGATTTAGTCCCAGAGCTGTGAAAGGGTGCAGTCCAATTTTTGATGGGGGGGAGGCAGTGTATCGTCGACTTCAAGGCTACAGGGTTTACCTGAGATAGTAGAATAGGAAAAGGGACGGCCATTCTCTCCACATGCTCTCGGAGGCGGATCTGCACCATAGCCGGGCCTGACTGCTGTTTCAGCAGCAATGACCTTATATGTGCTGTGAAAGACGCCCGGTGTCTGCAGTGCTCTTGAAAATGGGAAAAAAAGGGCGCCTCCCGTCGAAAGAGGTTCCAATTCTCTTGAGAGGGGTGGGGGTGGGGTGCTGAGGTGATACTACCTCCCTAGGAATGAAGGGCAGAAGTTGACCACAACAGACATCTGATGCTGAGAGAAATGCCTTGTGTTTCACCCAGAAGAATTCCTCTTGGGTGTTACTTAGAGACACACAAGTTGGATCCTGGACAGCCCTCAGAGCACTTCTCCAAATTGCCATGAGTGATATAATTTCCATTAAATGACAGGAGGAAAAAAATATCAAATGTTAGCGTAATTTATCTTCATGATCATATCTTTTCAAATATGCTTAGTTTTGTTGTTGTTTTTTGCCTGGTCTTGCTCATTTGTTGGAATGCAAGTTGATGCAGCCTCTGGTTTTATGGCATGAAGCAACAAAAAAGGGAAGACCTAAAAACAGTATCAAAGGTTTATTATTGTAAATTGTGTGTTTGAGACTTGACTCCTGTTGTCTATGTGGACAAGTCCTTGTGGTTTTCTAAGCAACTTTTCTGTAAGCAGTTTGCCCTTACATTTAGATTCGGTCTCGGCTTTTGCTTCTTGATTTATAGCCTTGACTTTCCCAGAACTTTGGACAAGAGCTTGGTCTAAATATAGCTTTGCTAAAAAGGTTGTGGACATCAGCAGAGTTGCTTGGAAGGGGAAAAATTTGAAAGATAGACTATGATAGTGAAGCACTATCCAATTGTCAAAGGAGAGAATGACCAGAATTTCATGTGTAGGTGGAGATTTTCATGGAACTTGAACCTTATATTAACTATGTTCCAATCTACTCCCCACATTTCACATATCCTGTTTTCTCCCCATAGATCCTAACTTTAACATCAACCTTAAAAGCTGTAGAAATAGTAGAGATTAACCAAATTTCTCCTATTTGTTCTAAGGTTACAAATAAAAATCAAACCTTGTGACAGAGTTTGCTTATTAAAGCAAGAGCAAGAGAAGCAAGGACTCAAGGACCTTATAAATTTGATAAATTGTATTATGATTATTAAAGTACCAAGTGATACCGGTACATCAGACAAATTTTGAGGACAGATAGTCTTCAGTTGTTTAAGACATATTTAAACCAAGTGGAGTCAGCATATTTGAAAATTTTGCACCTCATCTATATATTATTCACCAGAGATCTGGACATCATTGGTGACTAGATTTGGGCTTTTTGCTGGAATCCATCCTGTCATAGGAACTCATTGGCTGAAGAAAGTAATGTTGCCTCTAACCTTACATGGTGTAAATCCTGCATTGTTTCTTTCTGAGACTTTAATAATGGATTTTAATACTGTTGGCTTTGCTTTAAGTAATACTTGTTTTGCTTTTAAACAATTTCCCCCTTTGTTGTAATTGTGGATGTGTCGAAGTTTCAGAACCATGCATCCTTTTTCTGCCCTGACTGGTGACCTGGAATGTTTCAATATCATTGGCAAAGGCCAAAATTGTGCCCCCCCCCTTTGGGTGGTCTTAAAAGGGCTTTAGAAGCCATACTGATAACTCCTCTACTCTCCACTATGGGAATTTGACCCATTGGGGAATTTTAATTAGTCAATATTTCCAGTCACTTGAAGTCTAAAAAGTCAGTTTAATCTTCTCTGAAGGCTGCAAATGTGATAATAGGTATGCCCTTTAGATTTTCTACCTTCACTTTAAATGATTCATTGTACAGAAAAATGTATAAATGCTTTAAAATAAATATAATACATTGGCCTGAGGGGAATAAGGGTGGACTGGATCTCTGAAATATTTCTGTGTGTGCTTGTGTGTGTGTGAGCTTCTTTCAGTGTTCTGTTATTATTTTTAAAAATCTTGAGATGTGCCAAAGATCTCTAGCTATTGGGTGAGTGTAAAGCATAGAAATAAATGAAATCATGTTTCAGAAGGCAACCATTCCATCAGACTATCTTCATATGTATAGCACAAAGAAATTTATGAATCTAAAGCTGCCCCAAATATAATCAGAAGGCTATCCAGGCTGTTTGTTCAATTCACAATGCAAAATCCTGTCAAAGCTCAACAGAGCTTATCCTATGCAGAGCCCTGACCTGGTGCTGGCTTCAGTTATATGAACCGTGTGCCCAGTAATCATTGACACTCACCCTCTTCATGAGTGAGCATGGGAGATAAATGTGTATTTGCTATTCCCTCTTTCTGACCTCTTTCTATTCTCTCTCTCCCCCTTCTCCCCTCTCTCTGTCTCTCTCTCTGTCTCTCATTCTCTCCCGCCCTCCCTCTCTCTCTCCCATTCTCTTTCTCAAACCCTCCTCTCCATCATACCTCCCTCACACACACACACACCCCAAAGCAGTGCCTGCACACTCTTTAAAAATGGAAACAGGTCCCTCTGGAGTGATTCCCTACTCTCTGGCCTCCTGTTTGCAGTGGATAATCATTTTCCCTACGCTGAAGCAGAACTGATTGTAAATTTGCATCTATCACTGCAGCAGCCATTGAGACTGAATTAACAAGTCACTACAGCCTTAATTACTTTGTCAAAGATGAAAAATAGTAATTGATCTTGTCCTGGATCAGTTCACATCTCCCCCTCCCACCTGTCCCCTTCAATACCCTACCTCACTCCAGGTCCTCACAGATAAGCAAATAAATAAATAAATTTGGAATAAACTAAATAAATACCTATCAGGGAAACCTAGAAAGAGGGCAATAAAAAACCACTACAAGCAATTGTAGGGCTACTCAAGAGGGTGATGAGACAGGAGATAGGATCACTAACAGTGAGATACTAGAATAAGAAGCATAATCCATGGAAACACATAGTCTTCTAGTTAGCATTTGCCTTGGTTTATTATTCTGGCATTGTCTAGGTGGCACAGCTGGTCTATAATTTTTTTGGCAAAATTATAACACAAATGTGTTATTTGTGATAATCTAAAATGGATTTGCAAACAAGTTTTTCTACTTTAAAATATACATTTTTGATTCTTTTCTCCATGGGAGAATTACTGAACAGGGAAAGTCAAAGCCTGCCTACCTTTCCTTCCTTCCTTCCTTCCTTCCTTCCTTCCTTTCTTCCTTCTTTCTTTCTTTCTTTCTTTCTTTCTTTCTTTCTTTCTTTATAGAGAGATATTTATCAGTATCTTAATTTAGGGTAGGTATAATTGTCTACTATGAAGGACAATGCAAATTAGGTGCACATTTTAATATCTAGATGTGAAAAACATTTAAAAATGGGACATCTCAACTATTTTCACTGAATTTTGCTTTAATAGTTAAATGCTGAACTGCATAAAATAAATATCCCTTTTAAATGCAGACTGACTTTTATCTCCACTCAAGCTAAAATCCCTAGTGTTCTGAATTTGATTAAAAATAAACATAACACTTGACTTTCTGACTAGTATTTAATATTTGTCAACCAAGATGTAGAACTGTTTATCTTTTAACAGGAAGAATAAAGCATAATGTATTCAGTGACATTTCTTGGTGATATCCATGTGACTTGTTCATTTTACTTTTTGAGTTTATGGGGAGGGGTATAGTAATATTTCACTAACTACTGTTTGTAGTTTTTACTTTTAATCTTTGTCTCTTTGAAAGATGAATTCAATGAGGTTTTTGTAGGTTAGGGGAATATTTGCTTTTATATCAATTTATAATTAACTTTAAGTCTTTTTATTGCTTGATTATATTATATGAATATTATTTCATATAATTCAGCATGCTAAAAATTCACATAGTGATTTCAAAAGCTTAGTTTTATACAGTACAGATTTGTGCTGAAGTAAGTTCCATTGTGTTCAGTGGGAATTATTGTTACCTCAGTAGAAATACAATGTTGATCCTTCTGTATTTGTTAATAGTTCTACAAACCAGAACCAAGAGTTTGTTGTGATTGAAACATCACAGTAGATAAAGTAGCATCTTAAATTCCACAGGACTGAGCTTTAACCAAGAACAACAGTGCAAGATCAATTGTGGCTTGATTGGCCTCAGTTGCTCCATCAACACAATGGGTCCCATTGCTGGTGTGAAACTCATTATTAGTACATAAACTACCAAATGCTTTGTTTCAACTTTACCTTTCATTGAATTTCCACGTAGTTTGATGATTGTTCCTATCACCTGGAACCAGATTGGTGTAGGGGTTAAGGCATCAAAACTAGAAACTGAAGGACAGTGAGTTTTAAGTCTCACCTGTGGCCCAAAGTTGAGTGATCAGCTGACTGATCTTGGGCCAATGATTTCAGTACAAGGAAGAAGTTAAGGGCAAACCCACTTCTGAAATGCTGTCAATAAAACTGCAGAGGGCAATTGCCAAGGGTCAAAACAGTTTTGAAGACATACTTGAACTCTGAATGCCTGTCACTTAAGAAAAATGCAATGAGTAGAATTTAAACTCTATTATGAAATATGGAAAAATAATGAAATGAGTCTTCACTTGTTTGTGCAACCTTGTTTCTGCCATGCTGTGGCCCAGTACCTGTCCATGGACCAGGGGTTAGGGAACCTGCCCTAGAATACAACAGTCATATATATTTAGCTACTAGTTGATAATCTGGCATTGTCTGGGTATTTATTTATAGTGGGGAAATGTCGGGACCAAATGTAATTTCTAATGTTGGATTTTCCCCCTTACCAGAGGGAGCTTTCTTGTGGAGTTCTGTGAAGCTGTTACCATGGCAACTCCACTGCACTGTACAGTAGAAGCCATTTTAAGGCACAACAGGTTATATCTTAACAGAACACACACCCTGAGGGGTGTCTTAACCCCACAGTATTGGTTTCCATAGAGTAAATCATCTGTGTGTGTGTGTGTGTGTGTATTCATTTCCTCTTATCCCAAGTAGTTGAGTGAAGTATGACCCAGGAACACATTTATCTCTCAATGAACTTAGATTCTTCTCTCTACTTAAATATGTATTTA